TTCGAAACACTGTTTCCAACACAAATCCACTCACTGTCCTGACCTTCAAGGCTTCCGAGGTTTTTTCTTGTGGTAACGAGCCTTCTCCTCCGGAAAAAGAAATTCTACGGACATAAATCCAGAAATCTTAGTCATAGCAGTGGGGCGATACTTCACTTTCGGTTCGCGTAATTGTAATCCATTCCCCTTTGTGCAGCGATTTTAATTTTTCTATTATAGAGCAGCATGGTTGCATCCCATCTTGTTGAAACCATACACTTTGCAGACTGAATACGGGGTAGCTCCAAGATATATGCAAAGTTTGTCTCTCAGTATATCTTATCACACGAATCGATTCATCTTATCGGGATGGAAGGAGAAAAGAACCGGTCAAACATGATTCTAGGATGTTACAACAAAAGTTTTCTCAGATGTTCCGTGAAATCACCTAAATTTTCATTGTGGCAACTCCAACCTATATGGTAGCCGTTATGACGCAAATAGAGGGTACACTCATCGAAGAACACTGTGTTTTGCACGACATTGGTTGAGGCGGGGTCCTGTGTATAAATCAATTACACGGTAAAGAGCCCCAATTTGTCGACCTGGAGGACGTGTGTTGGAATTCCATCACTATCGGCGGGNTTTAAGATGCAACAGCCTTCTACTTTTCGGGATTGCCTCTATCCGCTACCACAACGGAGCCAAGTTCTGCGTTTGATCTTCGCTTCCCAGTGTCTGGTTTACATCCCTTCCCCCTAAAAAGATCTGCCCAGTTCGTCATCATATTGATACAAAGGAAACCGTGGGATTATAGCCTAATCATCTGTGCCAAGTTTGCGTCGCCGAAATGTGTGCACTGGAAATGTGAGAGACATGGGTCTAGTGGTTGTGTTTGACACGTTGTTATGTTCACGTGAATTAATTGATGGAATGACCTCCGTTAGGTGGTCGAGATATCTATCGCCATACATTCACCTGGTTGGGACATGGATAGATGTGGAGGTTCTGGTCTTGTTGTGACCGCATAGGGTCAACATTTTTCCCCTCAGAAATCACGGACGTACATCACGAAAGAAAACAAACAATCGGATTATAGGCCAAGGGGGGGGGGGTCGTATCAGTGAGTTGTGGGCGGGGCCCTGATCAAATGCTGCACATGATAAAGTTCCTAAATCAACGGTAGCAAATTCATAACAGGCAAGTCAAATGACAAACATTGTGAGAAGAATTCCTCTTGTATACTCTCATCGGTGGCATACGTAAGACATTAAACAAGATATAAAATGAAGTGAATTGAGACATTTAGTCACGTTTTTATGGTGTGCATTGTTGTTGCACAGGATTGGTTACAGCTCGAGTAGACAAAACCTAAAAGTCATGCGCTTTTGGATACACAAGGTGGGTTTGTTTCACGCAAGCGATAATGCCTATAGTATTCTTAGTCGTTGGTTGTCACGATGATATACCAAAACCGAGGACGCGTTCACAGCGTGTACCTTGTGCCCGCTTTCAACTAAGTGGTGTGCGGTGGGCGAGGTTGATGCACGAGAAAGTAGACTATTTTCATGCGAAACTGATCAGGGTTTGCTGGGTTTTGTTTGGTTCAGCGTTAGCGACACGAACTGTAAAGATAAAGCTTTGGTCATTTATTCAGCTTTTTACAGTGAGATCACTTGCAAGGCTAAATTTCTGCCTACGAGACGACGTATAGAACGGAGCGACACGTTAAAGTTTTCGGACAACTGTGATCAATTAAGTTTCATGAGTGAAGTCAGCAAAGCGCGTACATGTTACACCTTATGAATTACAAACCATAGGCCGATTGTACTAACCAATCAGAAATCGTGCGGCTCAGACAAAAGCTGAACAACACCAGAAATACTAACACGCGATTGGCAGAGGCTTGAATGACCAATGAACTTGTTTTGTACATATTATTTAAACCCTCTGATTTATTTCAATAAACGTACTGCTTTTTCTGTGGCCTTTTCCTCGCGTCTCGGTTACGTAGAGTACTGCCGTGCAAGTACCTGTGAGATCCAGTGCTTACGTGGCGTCTATGATTGCTAATTCGTGATTCGTATCTTGCGATCGGTGCATACTACAATTACTAAATTTATTACAATTTCATACCTGAACATTCATCATCTGTGATCAGTTATCCACTCAAGCGATGCTCGCTTATTCCCAGCTAAGTATATCAGTAGCCGTTATACTATGATTTGGAGATAAACTGATCACTGACTCTTTCAGTTTCATGGATTCGGGGATTGGGTACTGAGAACTTTCTTAGATTATGTAGGATGGTATCTGTTCTTGTCAGTGGCTCATTATTCAATACCTGTACAAAAACAGCAACACGTTCAGTGGCCCGAAAGTAACTGCTTAGTCATTTTGCCTGCTTGAGAAGAAAGGCATCAGGCATTGGAATAGAATCAGATTAGAGAACTGTATGAACAAAAGAGGGTATGGATGCAATAAAAAAACGCAGTGCTGTGAATGTTACACTTTTGTGCAAACATCATGCGTTTGTATGAAGCCATGAAAGACGTAAATAAACCCATGCGAACTTGTAGTCAAAATACTTCTTCTCAACTTGTCCTGTGTGTTTAGACTATGGGATTTGCAATCCACCTAGACGGCGAGAGTCAGTTCTGAGTGATACTGGTCCCAGTTTCTTGAGTTCTCGTTCGAACTTCCATTGGTTTAGCGACTACGTTCGTATGGTTGTCACACTAGCATGGGAAAGATATCGGTGCCAAAGTAAAAAGAATTAATAATAACAATATTATTACTTATCCTCTCAATAAAATTTAGTTTTCACTCACCAATGGCTTCATTGTAATACACACAAATTCGTTCCAGTTGCAGGTCACTGTCACCTTTGTACATTCCTTCATTTGTGACTCCATGTTCATCTGATATCACTTCCCAGAACTATAACACAGATAAAATATATGTGAGTTACGTGATCATAAAATAAACAGCCACTACGTTACTTTTGCTCCCATCTGGTTGCCACATTGTCCGATTTGTACGTGGACTATTTCGCGCATTTCCACGGCTGAAAATTCGTCACAATTGTCCTAACACGAACTGTTGGCCTCTGTTTAAATCGATCGATGATACTGACAGGTCGAACGCGAATCACATGATTCCAATGGATAGCTCTGATATGGTACGGTTCAACAGAGACATTTTCTGATTCCCGGCTGTCATTTTGTAAGTGTAGACGCAGCCTAGCACCCGCCGGAGACATTGGATATCTGAACCGACAGGAATATTGGAAGGATAAAAACAATAAATTCCACCCGACGGTGTCGCAACGTCAACTGAGGAAAGACATTGAAAATCGGTGGGAAAAAGCTAATAAAATGGAAGAAGCCGCTGAATTCATGATTAGTTATAAATTGCTCCACCTGACAGGCAACACAGGAAAAGATAGGATACCGGTCGGTACAGTGATGAGATTGGACTGAGTATCCGCACTAGGAAATAGAGGCTTGATCACTGGATGGAGTACTTTAGCTAACAACTTCATTGACCTTTTGGAAGCGCACTCATTCCAGGCGGTTGAGGCTGTATCTCCATGACCGGTTTCATTTAAACCCCTAACAGATGAAGAAATACCGTGTCTTATTCAGTCAAAAAGCAATCCTTTTTAAGATGCGGGTGGTCTTCCTGAGGACTCCATCACTTGGTAACTACATATTTGGTTGGAGGAGCTAATCGCATCATTCTCGGGTCCATCAACGATCGTCCCAATCTTTAAGAGGATATCATAAAGCGACTGTACAAACCACCGTGGATAAGTTTGGTTCCTTTTATTGAATGCACCGATGTACAACTTTCAGTAAGGG